ATGCACCTGATCATCCACATACGTCCTGTCTCCTGGGCGCAAAGAGGTTGATACAGGTGACTCCCAACACACGAAGGCATGCTATGCTTGAGGTTTAATTTGATATATTAAGGTGGGTACTATCTAGATCGCCTAGACATAACTCACCACACAAGACGTCACAGTGTTTTCTTAGTTCAGCAGGATGCAATAGCCTGTAGGGAAAATATATTTATGTCAAAATGAATACAATCCAAAAGGTTATCTAATTATATACTTCCCATCAAAAGTTTAGACTCACTTGCAACACTCACTGTATGTTGCTGAAAAACATATGCAAACATGGTGCATGTGAACAGCTGCGTTGTGGTGTAAAGTGTTGTTAAGAATTGACCAATTTTCATTGATTTTTATGATTTATTAAACTCATGACAATAATCTTTTCAACGTTACGAATTTGTTTTCCAATACATCAGTTTGTGTGTAAACAGTACCTTTCAACAGTTTGGAACATTTTGCAAAATTAATATTAGAACAGTGGCCTGAAGTAAGTGGCAATAGTGAGTGAGTGAGTGAGTCTAAACTTTTGAAGGGAAGTAGTTTTTGCAATTCACATAGAAACTGATATATGATGTTTTTGTAATATGTCATCTATATATTCTCCCCTCCCCTTTCCCTTTCACATGTACACACATATACACACATATATGTTCCTGCCTGTATGTCTGCTCTCTCGCTTTACCCATTACACATATACATACTTTCTCATGTCATGATAACGAGAGGTGTGTTATCTGCAAGGTAATGCAATACTCCATGCCGTGTAATATTTGTGATTGATGCATTGTCAAATTGATTTGTATTTGTAGGGATTATTACAGCAAGTCAACTGATTACAGTTTTGATACATTAATACCATCGCCAACACCCCGTCTCCTTAGGCAGAGGATGAAAGAAGCCATATATGAATCGATCCAGTAGTCGGGTTTAGTGCATTTCATTTCCATCCATAACAGACTCGTCTTTAGAGCTAAGTCCTTCATGTTTGATGTACCAAGGTTAAGTCAACAATCGTCGAACCAGTTTTATTTCTGATGTTTAGCGAAACTCTAGCTCATCAATGTGATCAATCTTCAACAACGTATCGTGGTCAGGGAGGAACGCCCTTTCTTTTATGTCTAGAATTCCTCTCTGTGACGTCTTGGGCTCCATGGCACATTGCCGGACTGGTGGAACAGGGCAGTAACCTTTGTCCACTGTGATAACAGACAGATACCCAGGCACCTACAGGTCTGCTATATCAGTTCCCCAACAGTCCTTCAACACGCCCTAAAACGCTAAATGCAGCTAAACGATAATACATATCATACATTTATCTCCTCGCATTCTTGCCCATTGGAAACCAGTCTACTCGAAACAACTGATAGATGTTCTTGTTTGGCGTAATTCCATCAAATACAGATGTTTACACGTCAGTGTACTGGAAATTAAATGTAATATAAAATCGTCATTAACGACTGTGAGTGAATTATCAAAGTTCAAGATATACAGCGTAGCAACAGCTGAAAGCGACATTTATGTGTTTGCATTTTCATGAATTCGGATTTTTTAATGGCAATTTTAAGTCAAATAAGAGATTACTTTCGACTTCTATGAAAATTTAATATGAAATTTCCGTCATACGACTCTTGCACAAAAGTTATTAAATTTTGATCAACGTTACAGCATTCACTAAAGTCACACTAAAGGTTTCAACACGTTTTATGGAAGGCACGTGGAGGACATTTCCAACTTCCACACATTAGTGGTTCTCCATTTTGACTTCAACACGTTTTGAATATATTATTCGTTACCTTTTCTCTATTTTTGCACTTGAACAATTGATACGTCTTTGCGAGTGCTTGTGGCGGATGTCACTGTAAGGACAGGATACGTTTATACGAACACCGGGTGTCATAATGATTCATAAACACAAGCTCATGATATAACTGGACTTGTCGATTCTGCTTTCAGCGCAGATTTCTCATAGAAATGTTTTGTCATTTTTATTTACATATCCCCAAGTTGTCAGAAATCAATGTTTACATTGATCCATTGCGTTGTCTTTTCTTTCGAACTGACAAACAAATCCAGCTTATGTTCCTGTTATTGAAGTAATGAAAACAGACCATGCAACTGGAATGGTATTTTGTCGAATAAACAGGTGCAAACTCTACCTGTACAAAGGTAACTGAAAGACGAAGCACGGGAAGTGGAGTCACTATTGGCAATTTCATTTGATAACGTAATCATAGCGGATGTCACCATTTGTTTCTCAATGCGTGACTACAGTGCAGGAGGTGTGATTTTTGTGGTGTGGGTTTTTTTCTCTGTCTCTTCATCTCATTTTTATTCCTTCTGTCTCCGAACTCTATCTTTCCATCTCAGTAGACAGTAAATTGAATTTCACTTTGTTTCGTTAAAGGAATATTTGCCTCGACGGTTAATGCGTATGAGTGTGTATATAATTTTAGTATAGAACACAATGGCACTACGAAGCTCTATAAAGTTTATATTCATCCATATAAAGAGATGAACATACCGATAAGGACTATCCAAGGCTAAATCAGCTACAGCTGGTTCAGTAACAGCTGCTGAAGTCAAACAGTCGATGGCGATGTGATGAACTCTGACTGACTAGCGTGGGTGTGTAGTGTTCCGTATCAACAGTGTTGTTGTACATGTCAACCCCAAACTGTAAGTACATTTAGCACAATCACATTACTGGTGAACGTTTAGATACATACCTACCTTCAGGTGTTTGTTAGATACATACCTACCTTCAGGTGTTTGTTAGATACATACCTACCTTCAGGTGTTTGTTAGATACATACCTACCTAGAGGTGTTTGTTTTATACATACCTACCTTCAGATGTTTGTTAGATACATACCTACCTTCAGGTGTTTGTTAGATACATACCTACCTTCAGATGTTTGTTAGATACATACCTACCTTCGGATGTTTGTTAGATACATACCTACTTTCAGATGTTTGTTAGATACATACCTACCTTCAGGTGTTTGTTAGATACATACCGACCTTCAGATGTTTGTTAGATACACACCTACCTTCAGATGTTTGTTAGATACATACCTACCTTCAGGTGTTTGTTTTATACATACCTACCTTCAGGTGTTTGTTAGATACATACCTACCTTCAGATGTTTGTTTTATACATACCTACCTTCAGGTGTTTGTTAGATACATACCTACCTTCAGATGTTTGTTAGATACATACCTACCTTCAGATGTTTGTTTTATACATACCTACCTTCAGGTGTTTGTTTTATACATACCTACCTTCGGATGTTTGTTAGATACATACCTACCTTCAGATGTTTGTTAGATACATACCTACCTTAAGGAGTTTGTTAGATACATACATACAATCAGGTGTTTGTTAGATACATACCTACAATCAGGTGTTTGTTAGATATATACCTACCTTCAGATGTTTGTTAGATACATACCTACCTTCCGATGTTTGTTAGATACATACCTACCTTCAGATGTTTGTTAGATACATACCTACCTTCCGATGTTTGTTAGATACATACCTACCTTCGGATGTTTGTTAGATACATACCTACCTTCAGATGTATGTTAGATACATACATACCTTCAGGTGTTTGTTAGATACATACCTACCTTCGGATGTTTGTTAGATACATACCCATTTTAACCTGGCGTCTAACCTAGGTTTTATCAGACCGTTTTGATACCAATTTCACTTTAATGTTTGATGATTATTCAACCGTAACTTTGGCATTCGTTTGTAGATGATATCAGTCTTAGTCACGCTAACATTCCAAAATAGCGGCTCTTTGAAAGGAAATTACTATTAATTAACTTTCCATATCAAGTGTAACGCATCTCAAACCAGCAATAGAAGTAAAGTTCGCCTATACGACCTAGGCAATGCAATAGTAAAGCCAAATACAAAGATGCATAATCCTATACGTGAATTTGTTCGTAACATGCCTCTCTTCACACAACAGTGAATGAATGCCCAAAGGGATGAATTTACATTGTCACTGTTACGTTTTCAGCGCGGTTCCAGTCTTGTATATTCCTCAGGATGTCAAATATGTTCTCGTCGCGATATGGCTAAAATATTGCCGATGTGACGTTAAATATTAACTCACTCACTCAGATTGAATATTGACGACACACGGGTCCACTAACCACTTCTATGCACTTAGAGCAAGCCTAAGCATAGGATACAGCGCTATACAAATTGATTATTTTTCTTCTTGTCATTATGCCTGGTCCAGTAAAAAGTAGGTAACTGAAGTTCATAAACCGTCAAGTATTTTCAATCATGATCTAGCTATATGCTTCGCTTGTTAACTTCCGATACCACCAAACAATGTCAGGTTCATCTTGAAATTGATCCTGAAATGTAATTTAGACCTGTAGCTTCATTCATACCTGAAAGATTTACAAGCAATGTTTCACTTTCATATCTCTGTGTATGATGGCAGTCATCGGATCAGTTACCTTGAACCTCATGCATATGTCCGAGTTAGTTTTCTGCTTTGTGTTGTGGCATTAGGTCCATCATAATTTCGCTTTGAGTGAAAGCTAGCAGAACAAGAACAATTGCCACCCAGAGAGTAAAACCGTTTTAATGTTGTAAACTACGTGAGGTGTTCTATTATTAATGATCATACCACGATTAATACCCCATTTCAGGTACGTTCTACAATGCATGTCATTAAGACCGAACAGGAAATGTAGAAATCGAATAGTTTTATTTCTCGCGCCAGCTCTGATATTAAAGTTCTGCATTGTTTCTCTGAGTGCATTGTTCCGTTGTCATGGTCAGAAAGCAATACTTGATCCTGATATGATCCACAATTTCCTATTTTCCGTCAATTGCCAGAGTGTTTTATTACAATGGTATGACATAAATCCGATATAATCCATCTGAAAACAGACAGACGCTTTTATCACAACTGACATGGTTTATTTTTACAGATGGTCGCAGAAGCTGTGACGATTCCAGGTTTGTGCCAACCTTCATCTTGACATGATCAATCATCGACCATACTGGAAGACTCCAAAAGACTCCATTCAGCAATATGGCCGCCAACGCGTCCCACGTCGCCATGCAACCGGACCAACCGGCCCTGTTACAGTTTTATTCCTGGTTTCTCGGTATCCATGGTTACGCCAGTGTTGTTGTGTGCATATTTGGTGTTTTCACGAACATCTTCAACATCACCATCCTGACGCGACGTGACATGCGCACACCCACAAACATCTTGCTGACCTGGTTGGCAGTGTCCGACATCCTCACCATGGCTCCGTACATTCCGTTTGCTATACATTTCTACTGTCCCCCTGCTGACCCCAGAGTCAATCCGGAGAAGTTTACATATAACTGGATCATGTACATGCTATTCCTCATCAACATAACGGCCACAACACATACAATATCAAACTGGTTGGGTGTTTCCTTAGCGGTATTTCGATTCGTTCAAATGAGATCAACAAGTCGCGGGCCGCTGGCAAAAGAACGAAGGATACGTCACGTGAAAGGCATAACGCTGGCTGTGAACGTACTGTCATCCGTTGTGTTAATACCAAACTACCTTACAAATGAGATCCAGTGGCACGCACAGGACAACAACACGATAGTGTATGGGATCAAAGATTTAAACCTTGCCACCAACCAGACGAAAAGTATTGTTCTGTTCAATGTCATAAACTACGCGGTGACCGCCAAACTCGTTCCATGTGTATTAATGATAGTGTTCAGTGGCTCCTTGGTGTATACTCTCAGTGTTAAAAACAGAGAAAGGAGACGGAGATTATCAGCAAGCGGTAAGAAGTCAAAAAAGGATTCCAGACAAGCCACCACCACCAGGATGTTATTGGTTGTTATAATTCTTTTCCTCATCACCGAGTTCCCACAAGGCATATTGATTCTGCTCAGCGCAACAATGCCTGGGTTTTATACCAATGTGTACCAACTTTTAGGAGATCTCATGGACTTCATAGCGTTGTTGAATAATGCCATTAACTTCGTATTGTATTGCATTATGAGTCAACAGTTCCGAGCCAGATTTTTAGAAATGTACCTTCGGCGGGCAGTCCTGCATAAACCGTTAGAGGAGAGTGGGACGACCTCGGAGCGGTTGTGTTTGAAGGAACCACCAACAAAGACTACCTTGGCAGACTAGAGACTTGAACACGAATGTACATTTGTCTACATGTGTTAGTAGGTTAAGATCAACATGAAAGAAATACTGAATAAGGAGTATTATATTGGATTGCAACTGTTGGATTTTGAATTCACGAAAATGCAGGTGGCTGCCATTTGTTTAGAGTACACATTACCAAACTACCGGTTACAAGAATCAGGTTGTAATGTGGTCTACACAGATAATCTTAAGGACGTGCAGGGTGTTTAAGGAGTAATACATATCAACGTCAGTCAGAGATCAGTTTACAGAAATAGAGAGCGTAAAACGTCTAGAAACCGAATTGCATAAACATGTCACGATTAAACCGATGTACCCAAGTTTAAAAAGCAGCAAAAGTTTAAAAGCACTCAAAGTTGCCCCATTACCGACCAGTAAAAACCTAAAACGCTATCATTTCACTTTAAACTTTTAACGGTTGTAATATATTCGTAAATATGACTACTATTCTATTGTATATTTGTGTTTTAATAGATGGCATGTCAGACTGCTTATAGAATGACTACTCAAAATTGCATATTTTATAGGTTTCTCATCACTAATCCATTAATCAGAACAAGACGACGTCGTTGCGAATGGTTTATGAAATACTGAAGTGTTTTTACAGTTAACTACCTTTATGATCGTAACTGCTAGGTCTATCGTCTACATAAACTGTCAAACCAACATTAGCTTCATTCCGTTTTCACGTTAACTGTTTTCATAAATAATAAAACAGTATCCATTTCTTGAAACATTGTTTCGTTACCATATGAACCTCTCTTTAATTCACACATACACGGTGGTACTGTGTGTACTAAATTACATAATCTATAACAAGTGCCAGAAAGGATGCAAATAATAATAGCTACACACACTGGACCCCACTCCTATAACTCGGATACTCTTACGACGTGAATAAATTTATAGTTCATTAAATTGTTGTGGACCTTTTTATCACTGGAAACATACACACCATGGTCCTTCTACAAGGCATACGTAACCTGATAACAGAAAAGTTCAGTTTCAGATTGCTGAAAGGTGGTGCATACACAAGAATCAGATGCACATGATTTCATGTTCAACTGCAGCTGTCCAAGGTTTACTCGAATAAAAGAACACTTCATATCGGGTGGATTTGAATATAAATGCCTAAACATTACCTTGGTCAAACCAAACTATGTTCAAGAAATACAATGGGAAATATAAGATCATGTTTATCGCAAAAAACAACAACATATATTTGCATTTATGTCTTGTCCCGATGTATGCGAATGAACAAATTTTTGCCATAACGATCATGTACAAGAAACAGCTTACAACCTTAAACCAATGTACATATTACTAAATCCCATTGCTAAACGTTACTCTCTCCACAGTCATTGACATACCATAACCCAATCTACAATTACTCACCAACCATGCTCCCCAATATGTGTCTGCGTGTTACTGAGAGCCAGGATTCAAGCCATGTAGATTATAACAAAATCGGCTGCACGTAAGCAATTGATAAAGTGTGGCACATCACGCATTGTAACAAACTTACTTATTTATGCCAGATAGAGATTGATGTACATTACAGACTGGGCCGTGGTTTGAAATATACCGCTGTTCATCTGAATCTTCCAAACGGATGAAGAGTAGGACGAGCATATCATGCAATACTCCGTATCGTCGCCACGTGTTCCAGCAGTTGACGCATGGCATTACATCATGACGTATATTATTTTGTTTTTAAGTGTTCTTCAGTGCATTAGTGGTTCAGAGATTATCTGATGTTTTGGCTGCTATGACCCCCTGCCAAGACATCAGGTGTCTCGCACAGGACTCTGTCGCATTACCAAAGAATATTGGAGACATTTCTTTTCACATCCCTTGTGTAAATAGACGGTATTTGAGATGGTGTACATATCCCCAGTGGTACTTGTGTGGTAAGTGCAATTGATATAACATTGTCTTGGAACACATTTTGTATCATAATTCATCGTATAAGCTTCAAAATCACGAATATTCTTGAAGAGTGAAGTGTCCTCTATAGATATATATTTTCGAGAGATTTATATTTTGATAAAATATGTTCATTCGAACACTTAGGGTGTAATACTTCTTACATAGATTCAGAGTTTGTTTAAACATTTAGGGAATGTAAATACCTGTATATACCATGTGTTGTAGAATCCGTCAACTCAGTCTGGTCTTTTACGTTTGTCCGACAATATGTGAGGCGTAGAGAATATCCCAAACATGTCAACGGTTAATATACATTATTCTTTGGACAGTGTTGTAAGTAAAGGGAGAAAGAACAGCCGCATGTAGTTTATTTTTACACTAAGCCATCAGTGCAACAAGGTCAACTGCAATAACTGAGCGATATGTCATGGCTTGTGATTGCAATTATCTTTGTGTCATATGGCCCTTGTTTACTACTTCATACATCTTCCGAAGTGACAGTTCCGGAATGAAAACGTGCAGTGGTAACTTGTACACATGAGTGCCCGAATCATTCACCTACATGTGGAAACGGTGTAATTTTACCATACATACATCATGAGATATGTCTGTACTTTACTCATTTATAGTCTCACAGATGTAAAGGTTCGAGATATAGTATTTGAGGGTATATTGTTAAGTTGAAGACATTGCAATAGTTTGCGTGCTTATATTCAAATATTGTACGTCTTCCATGAAAGACAATGATTAATATCACGACCATATTTATTGATTAATGTTCGGAATGCACATACGACACCATTCGTTTCTCGTAGACATCGCGCCTGTCTCATTGTGCCAGTATCACAGCGGGTTGACATATAACGCCAGTATCAATGTTTCACTTTCGATCAACAAATAATTTTTCTTTTTTATTGCGTTGCCCATCCTCCACCATTGACAGTGTAGATATTGTTGATAGCATTGTAATACATGTGCCTTGTTGATACGTGTGCAGTCAAGTAGATCAATTGTTGGACATGCTTCAGTTCGATTTTGTCAGCCTCAGTACACTTGTGATTTTGCATATATGATGAATATGGTTGAGATGTATGTATTTTGAATTGTAATAAACCCATTGCCACTTCTTAAACAAAATGTGTGTTTGTTTGTAATGACTATTGAAACAGAGATCTATTGTTTACAAAGTGTATGGTATGTACATGAAGTGATCGCCATGAGGTCACCACATGCCATACACGTTCATGCTTTCTTTAGATATCGGAATTCAACATACAATGGATAGTGAACAGACGATGGATATATAAAAACGGATAGTGGTAATACAACTGACAACATACAGTGGATATGCTCATACAGATGAAATCATACAAATGTATAGAGACAGGACAGGTATCATACAGTGGATAGATATGACACAATGTATACAAACAGATGATATAATTGGTAGATACCATACAGGCGATATCATGCAATATATAATTGCCATACAATACTTACATGTATACTGATGACATAAAATATATCACACAATTGATAGTGACCACACCGCTGACGTCATACAATGAGCGAGTGAGTTCAAATGAAGTGTTGCGTGGGAGTTATTTCAACCATATAGCAACGGGGCCAAGATAGTGACATTACATTGGATGTCATGCAATGGACGCAACGATCAAACATACGTGCTAACAGTGCAATTAATGTTAATAATGAGATACATTGGTGGCATGTCTACATATAGATCCCAAGTAAGATAGGGGATAGATGAGATAGGGGTTTCCGGTGTCAGGTCGTGGTTTACTGTGGGTGTTTCCTTATGGTATAAGTCCTATTTAAAGACTAACAGATATGGATAATCCATGTACAAGATTCGAATAATACACCTTTCGTTCCTACTATCTAGATGTCTGTGATTCTCTAGTATTTTTTACTGTCCATCGTCGACAGGTTTTAATCTTCAAGACGTTTTCTCTTTATATTGTATAAATTGTTTTCGTCACGATATGGCTGAGATATTGCCGATTTGACGTTAAATATTAACTCACTCACTCACTATATAGATGACAATGATAATACAGCAACCCACCAGGTTGATGCTATCTATGTCCTTGCATGTGTATTCTAAACGAACTGAGAACCGTCTCCGTGGTGTAGTGGTTAGAGCGTTAGCCGGGAGACTGGAAGGTCGCGGGTTCGATCCCGGGCCGCGTCATACCAAAAGACGTTAAAATATGGTCCTTGTTGGTTCCTGCCTGACGCTCGGCATTAATGGCTACAACAAGGACTGGTCGGCTCTGAGTGGGTATTCATGCTTAACTGTGCATGTTATCTCAGTGAGCTGGCACTATAAAACCAGCTTAAGTCTGGACTAGTTCAAGCAACCACACATACACATGCATGCACTTCGTCATGTTTTTAAGCACGACGGATTTTCATGTTGAACATATTTCGCCAGACACGTAATCAGCACAACAAATGATATTTAAGTTGCGTCATTGACTTGCCTCTACTTCCGGTTTTCGCGAAAAGGCAGATACCACACAATCGCCCCCATAGTGTTATGCGACAAAATGTGTCATTGTACCCACGCAGATTCATTTACAGACGTAACAACGCTGCTGTATTAGTGCATCTTCATAAGAATAACTCGCGGCGAGGCATATAGATGGACTTATCACATGTGGGCACCAGGTTTGTTTGACAAGAACGTAAATAAACAATGCGTCACATAAGCTATAAGTATATAGAGGAAACCCTTCTGTGCAATCTTCTGTCAACTTGTATGATAACTCCAAAGATAATTTGGATATTCTTGGAGCATACCGACGATATGAACAATGTGTGTTGTGAGAAAATATACTTCTGTAGTTATCAACATGATAACTGGGTCTCGGTGACATGCACACATCAGCGTCTTGACCAGTAACGGGTGGCATGAACAAAACCCAAGAGCAAACCTTACCAATCCCAGTTACCCACCAAATCTTTCCATGAAATCACCATCAAATTCAAGCTCCCGATCATTTTCATGAGTATTCATGTGAAAGTCATTGAAA